TGAGACGATGCACGCACTCAATAATTTTCATTCACGACTGTCAGAAGCCAGCACAACTATCTCAGTGGAGATCAAGGGCTGTCAGCTCTCACCACTTCCTCTTAGGAAACCCAGCCCAGATCCACAGTTTCTAGACTATATTTCAGAGCTGTCCCGCTATACATTCTGCTGAAATGTTTTTCCCTCTATGTCCATCTTCAAACTGCCATTCACACTGCAAAGTGCAAAATGTATTCCACAAGCTCAGGAAAATGTCCTAGCATTGACTTCTCTTTAAAATTTTTGTTTAATGTTGGGAGGGGTGAGCGCGTGTACATGTGGAGATCAGGGTTGGTTCTCTCCTTCACCATGTAGGACCTGGGGATTGAACTCAGGTCATTGGGCTTGGCAGCAAGTGCCTTTACTTTCTGTGTCATCTCACTGGCCCATAAAAATGTATTCTAAAGAGCAAAAAAAATTCCTTCTATGCACTGTCTTGTGTATCTCTTACTTTGCTTATCAAATGTTTATGTTATCATATTGAGCTTTTCCAACCCTACTAAATAAATTGACAGCAAGAACCTTATTTTAGTGCTTTCCCATACTGCCTATCAAAGACTTAAGTATTCATTTTTTTCAATTTGATTAAAATTAATTCTATATAATAATTTTGTGAGTAAACATCAAAAAATAGAAGGAACTGTAGTGAAAATGAAATTCAAATGGTCACCTTTTCTTTCGAGAGAGGTTTTCTTTTTTTAATATTTTATTTTTAATACTTTTATTTTATGGGTACCTGCATGTGTGTAAGTGTTCCTATGTTGTTCAGTGCCCACAGAGATCAGAAGAGGGTGTCAGATCCCCTAGAACTGGAGTTACAGACAGCTGTTAGCAGCCATGGGGGTGCTGTGAATTGAACCTGGGTCCTCTGTGAGAGCAGCCAGTGCTCTTAACCCCTGAGCCATCACTCCATTCCCATGAGACAGAGTTTCACTGTGTAACAGGCTGGTCTTGATCTCACAACCTCCTGCCTCTGCCTCACCAATTCTAGGATTATGGCCACTATGCCTTGCTCAGATGGTCTGTTCTATGTGCTTGACCTTCCTTATCAAATACCACTTCCTCGGGGAAACCGCCTGAGACCCTAAGTAAGGCAATTACCCACACTGCAATTGTGTTTTCTTTTGTAGTACTCCCTCATGCTAGCAAAATGCTCTAACACTAAGTTATATCCCCAGCTCTTATTTTACTTTTTATTTTGATACAGGGTCTAACCTTTGCTGCCTATGCTGGCCTTGAACTCACTTTGTAGCCCAGGCTGGTCTTACACTTGCTATCCTCTTGCATCAACCTCCAGAGCAGCTAGAATCACAGGCCTACACCACCAAGCCCAATATCACCACTATAATTTTTTATACTATATAACTATTCTTTACTCACATTTTATAATTATTCATTAGTTTCATGATTAGTTTACTAATATCTTCTGCCATTCAGTAAACAAATGTTTCTGTAAGGTAAAAGACCACATTTGGTTTTGTTCATCACCATGGCCTCAGTACCTAACAAAATCCCAGTAAGATACATTGTATTTATTTATGTTCTGTGCAGTGTGCCATTCTAAAATGATAGTCATAAGACTAAAAAGTTACTTGTGAATTAATCTAACAGAAAATCATTAACAAGGTTTTTATCTAATTTTTTTCTTTTTTCTTTTTATTTTTTTATGTGTATGAGTGTATTGCCTGCATGTAGGTAAGTGTAGCTGTGTTGTGCATGTCCACACAGGTCAGAAGAGGGTGTCGGATCCCCTGGAACTGGAGTTAAGGATGGTGTTAGCTGCCATGTGGGTGCTAGGATTCAAATCCAGGTCCTCTGCAAGAGCAACCAGTGCTCTTAACTGCTGAGCCATCATCTAATCCAAATTTTTCAATTTTTTAATTTTATGTGTATATGTGTTTTGCCTGAATGTATGTAAGTGCACCTGTGTGTGCAGTGCCCACAGAGGCCAGAAGAGGATGTCGGATCCCCTGGAACTGGAATTACAGTTATTAGCTGCCTTGTGCGTACTGGGAACTGAACACAGGTCTTCTACAATAGCAGCCAGTGCTTTTAAACACAAAGCTATCTCTCCAGCCTCAACAAGTTTATTTTTATAATGCATTGCTACATATTCTAGTTGGCAAGTGTTTTTTGTTTGTTTGTTTTGTTTGTTTGTTTGTTTGGTCTTTTTGAGGAAGGGTCTCCCTGTAGCCCCAGCTGTCCTGGAACTCACTATGTAGACCAGGCTGGCCTTGAATTCACAGAGATTCGCCTGCCTCTTCCTCTTGAGTGTTGGGATTGGATTAAAGGCGTGCACCACCATGCCTGGCTTGGCAAGTGTTTTTAAAGTACATTTCCAATTGAGTGTGATGGTACATGCCTATTATCCTAACACCATAAAGCAGAAACCCAGAGTGCCAAAATTACCAAGTTATTTACACTGATCATATCTTCAAGATGATTTATAAATCTTCGTTTTCATTGTGAAGAGCCCATAGACCATAGATTTTTATGGTCTAAAAATTAGTAAAAAGAATGAAAAATTCTTTTTCAAAGTTCCTTTAATAGTCTATAATACAGTCTGCCACCTTAGACTCCAGCACAAGTACTTACTGTCTTTGGCACACAGCTAAGATCAGATGTTGCTAATATTCCTCATTAAGGAAAAAGCCTCTCTGTGTGTTTTTTATGTTCATTTCTGACACTTAATTAGAATTAATGAAGTTAGCCATTTACAGATGGCAAGAACTGCCAGGACTCCAGAAACTATACCAGAAAGATTGATGAAATATGTGACTTTTCTCACATGAGGCCAAGTGTGATCAGACATTTTAATTCTGCATGTGTAGCAGACAGCATGTTGTTTCCATGTCTGTGTGAAGGAGACTGAGTGAGCCAAAGGCGTGATCTTTGGCAGCTTTGTACAGCACGATGGGCATGTAGGAAAATGTTTATAAAAGAACACGTTTGAATCCCTTGTACCTCTTGGTGGGATCACTATGTTGTCAAACAGTAAAGGAATGTTTAAATACAAATAAATTATGCTTTCCCTGAATGGAAGCTACTCTCTGGTGCATAATTATGGGCTATGTATTTTGGGAGTTCCAAGTTTGACTGAGTGTTTCATTTCTCACTTATGGGAGCAGCTCACCTCTTAGCACCCATGATGCAGCAAACAACATCTTCCAGATGCCAGAAACACTCCTGCTGGCAGCCAGCAGATGGCTGCATGGAGGACAGACACTATGCCTTCACACACAGCTCCATCCTGGGCTGGCTAGCTCATTTTCTTTACTTGGTTTGATACATACAGAAGAAGCCACATAATTTTTAATCTGACTTTTCAAGTATTATAGTAAAAAACAGTCAAGAGTACAGTACCCAAGAAGACCTAAGACATTGTCAGCTTTTTCTATTTACCTATTTCAGGTTCTCCTGTCTTATTATCATCTGCTCTTCTTCAGTGAGAGCTGCCATTTTGAATTTTTGTTTTTCTTTTTCAATGCTTCTTCCTCCACTTTCACCTTCTGGAGTATCCGGGATACAAACCAGGGCCTTGTGTATGCTAGGAAAGCACTCTGCTACTGAACTACATTCCCAATTCTTGTTTGGTTGCTGCTGTTGTTTAGATCAAGTCTTCCCATGTAGCTCAAGCTGGCCTTAAGCCCAAGATCATCTCACCTCTGCCTCTGCCCCTGCCTTCCTGTGTTGTGATTATAGGCATGGACCACCACATCCAGCTTCTATACTACTTCAAAAGTAATTTTAGCATATAAGTATATATATAGCTAAATTTTGTATTTTTCCCACTGTTTGTTGCTTTATAAAAGTTATGTCATATTTAATGTAGTTTTCTGTATCTTTGTTTTGTTCACCCAAGGGAATGTTTGCAGGATTCATTTGTGGTGTTGCTTACAAGTGCAGGTTACAATTCATTGCACTGCTGTGTCATTGCATGATGACAGCATGATTTGTGAACACATCCTTCCATCTCTGGACATAGGGATTACCTATAGGTTTGGGGGTTTATTGTTGTTTTGCTGATATAAATGCTGCTGCTGTGACCATGTTTCCCGGTGAAAAAGTGCAAGAGTCCTCTAGGGATAAGACTTAAGGAACAGAATTTTTATCTACAATACATGGAAGGCCAACTTTACAAGGCAGTGCCGAGTTTTTCTAAAGCGATTAGCAGATTCACATTCAAAGCAGCATGTAAGAGTTTCTGTTAGTCCATTCTGCCACCAACACTTGATATTATCAGACATTATACTAATCTAGGAAGTACAAAATAATGCCTTATTTGGAATCCTTCTTTGGTTCTCTTCATCATACCCAGTCCTGATGACATTCTAAGTCATCTCAGACCTGTGGATCTAGAAGGAATTGAATGAGGTAAATAAGAGTGGAGAGTTTCTTATTGAGCCATTGGAAATTATACCATTTGTACAGCTGTTCCCTGCGAAAACCATTCCTAAGAAATTCAAGGTCATATAATACATACATTCTTTCCTTCAAACAATTTTTGTAGCTTCTTCTTTCTATGTGCCAGCCACTTTTCCAGCCCCCAGATTGTTACAGTAAATGAAACAAGAAAAGTCCTTGCATTCACAATGAGGAAATAGACAATAAACTATGAATATGGGAGCTAAGTGGTGGAGCATGCTTGTAACTCCAACATGTGGGAAGCTAAGGCAAGAGGATCCCAAGTTTAAGGTTAGCGTAGACTATACAGTGAGTTCAAGGACCTGTGTAGAAAAAGCCTATCTCAAAACAAACAAGCCCAGAACAAAAACAAAGCAGTATGTGACATAATGTCTGAGTCTGAAAAACATTTTGGGGACCAGAAAGACCAGGTTCAAATCCATTCTCCACACCATTCCAGACATTTGATCTCTTAGAGACAGTTTCATATTTTATCAAGTAGTATCATCTTGCAGGTCTATAAAGACTGATATTCTTTCCTGTCTGGCCATTTTAAGGAATGTCTCAGAAAAAGGATTCAAGGATCTCAAGGGTAGAGCAACACCATCTTCATTGTTTCTCCTGGGACTGGACCCACAAGAGCAGCATTCCAGTGGATACAGAAGCTGGCACACCACAGCTCACCTCTGTTCATTGCATCCTGCTTATCTTCTTATTAGTTGAACAAATTCCTTGACTCTGATTTTCTATGAGGCCACAAGCCCCTAGTGAGCTCTCTTCTTTGGTCTTTTTGAGACAGGGTCTTCCAGTAGCCCCAGCTGTCCTGGAACTCACTATGTAGACAAGGCTGGCCTTCAACTCACAGAGATCTTCCTGCCTCTGCCTCCCAAGTGCTGGGATTAAAGGTCCGGCTCCTTGCTAATGTTCTAACAGTGCAAATAACAGTTTGCAAATACTCACTTTAGCAGGGTGTGGCAGCACATGCTGGAAGATCAAGAGTTCCAGGTCAGCCTGGACCTCATAGTGAGACCCTGTCTCAAAAAACAAGGGTCAGAGTGGCAGGGTGTTTGCCTAGCATATCCAGTGCCCTGGGCTGCATCTCCAGCACTACAAGCAAACAAAATATATAAATATTTAATTAGCCAACTAGCAAAAATAAACGGTTTTTGAGATAAAGGGCTTCCTTTATAGTCCAGTGGGCCTTGAACTCATGATCCTCTGGCCTCAATCTTCTGAATGCTGAGATCACAGACATGTACCACCATACCTGGCATCTCCAATATATTTTAAATAATCTAGAGAGCATTTATAATAGCTGCTACAATGTAAATACTAGTGAGTAGTTGTTCTATATTATTTATGGACTAATGACAATGGAGAAAAGGAGATTCTGTCTTTGGTTTTGAAGGTTTTGTTGTTGTTTAGACAAGGACTCCCTGTATAGTCCAGGCTAGCATGGAACTCACAATTCTCCTGCTTCTACTTCCCAAGCGCTGGGATTACAGGTGTATGCCACCATACCTGGCCTATGTCTTTAGTACTTTTCAGTATTTTTTCCCCAGAATATTTTGGATTATTGATTGATTTATGAAGGCAGAACCTGGGGACACTGAGGACTGACTGTACATGAACCAGCCTGAGAGTTTAACAGCAGTGAATAATATCAGAAGATTGAAAGAATGATTGATCACTTTTAAATTGTGATAACATAGTGGCAGATCATAGGAAGTGTTCTGATCTGTAGAAATGTATACTGAATACCTTTGGAAGAAATTATAGGATACTGTGTATAAAATTGTCAACAAATAAAATTTTTTAAAATTACATAATTTCTTGGTTTTCTTTAATCTAGTGGTGGGGAGGAAGCTGGTAAATAGGCTACATATGAACATAACCACAGAGTGATAGATATATGGGGCTTGTGATACAACCCTGTCCACTTTTGTATATGTATAAATTTTAAAATAAAGTTTGTAAATTAAATGCTAAGGCCCTGCATAAAACAGTTGTCATCATTTCCTGTTTAGGCTAGAGGACTAAAAATAAAGGGTTGTCAGAGTACTACACTGGGGTCACTAACAACAAAATTTCTTTGAAAAGTTTCCATTTTAGAATCAGTTTTTCTCAAAGCCACTTCCTAGAATGTACAGATGTACTCTGGGTAATTTATTACTTAGAAACAGACCATCATGGTATTGCACAGGGGAACACTGGCAGTGCTCCTGGACCTATCCTTCGAATTATGCAATTATGGATTGCTTCTGTGATAGTTAAGAGTTGAGAGCCATAGACTGAGTCTTTTGGGAACTAGCTGTTCAAATTCCCACAAGAATGTGCAGGTCTCTGCTTATGTAATCAGGGAAATCAAGGTCCTGGCTTTACTGGTCAAACCAAAGTCTTGAAGGACAGGTGCCCCGAGGACTCCTTCCTGACCTTGCTGTTCTGTTTATACAACAGTGATTTGTGGATGCTTTTGGAAGACTGTGACTTTGTGAACAGTGGTTCTGCTTCTGGGGTTCCCCAAACCTTTTTGGAGTGGTTAATGGAAACACCTACTGAGCCAGAAAGTCTTAGAACTTGCCCATTCTACAAAGACTGGCCCCCATGCAGGGTTTAAACAGCAACAACAAAACCCCACCATTATCTTTTATGAAGTAACACATTTCAAAAAAATTTTGAATTTATTTAAAGGTCAAATTTTACATACTTCAGAGGAAAAAACATACCATTCCAGGAACAATCATACTGAAAACATTACACACAGCACATATGTAGTATATGGATATTATGCCAAAGATGAAGACTGACTTCTTATTCATGATCCTCTTGCCTCAGCCTCCTGAGTATTAGGATTATATGTGTGTGCCACTGACTTCCAAGTACTTTCCTTTCTGAACTACATGCTTGATGAAATGTTACCCAATTACTGTAATGATGATATCTAAAAGAAGAACAAAATTTGAGTAAGAAACTGCTCAACGCTCTAAGGTTTATGTAAACAGTGGCAAATAAGCATTTATGTAATATTTGCTTTAACAATTGCCTGCAAGGTTTCCTCATTTGCTTTGAGAAGAGACCAAATAGACCCATGATTATGTTCCCACACCTTGTAGAGGCTGACCAGTGTGGACTCTGGCTCTTTTTTACATATAAATTATTATGGAAAGGAGCCTTGGATTCTGGGAAAGGCCACTCCCATATAGTAATGCTGCCTTTGTTTTCAGTAGCAGCTATAAGAAAGGAAACAGCATGCTAGCAATGTAACCAAAGGTTCAAAGGTAAGGCTCAGAGGATACATGCAAGCGGGGAAGGAGGAAGCAGAACTATCAAGCCCAGTGGGCTTTGGACAAGGCAGGAGCTCCTACAGGCCTTTCAAGCAACTTCTGAGAATAAAATGTCACACTCTACACTAAAAGGAAATAATCTGTTGTAGATTGTGTGGGAAAGTCTTTCTCTTTGTCTAATAAATATATGGAGTTCAATTCCCAGCACCCACATGGTGGCTAACACCCATCTGTAACTCCAGTTCTAGGAGATTCGATGCCTTCTCTGACCTCCACAGGCACTGCACGGCACAGGTGCACTTATATACATGCAGGCAATACATGCATACACATAAAAATAATAAATAAAATATTTAAAAATAAATAAAAATAAATGTATGGAATAATGACTGATTTAAAAAATTCATCATTATCAAGGTATATAATATGGACATATATTTTGAACTTCACTTATTCTAGGCCAGGTTTGTTCATTGAAATTATACATTAATATTTAATTTATCATGAAATAGTTCAGATATTAAAACTGAGGATAAAAGAGAGGCTCAGTGTCAGAGCACTTGCCTAGCTTTCTCTGGACCAGAGGCTTAATCCCTAATATTGAAAAAAACAAAACCTGCACTGGTGTGGTACACTTTTGAGAAGGGATACAGTTCAGTTGGTAGAACACTTGCCTAGCATCAATGAAACCCTGGGTTCAGTCTCCAGCACCACACAAAACCAGGCATAGTTGAACATGCCTGTAATCCTAGCACACAGGAGGTAAAGGCAGGAGGATCATAAGTTCAAGGTCAGCCTTAGCTATATAGTAAGTTCAAGATTATCCTCAGCTACATAATGAATTTGTGACCAGCCTCAGCTATATGAGACCGTATCAAGAAAAGCAAGTAAGAGAGAGACAGAAACAGAGACAGAGGCAGAGGCTAATAAGGACCCTTGTACCCTTAATCCATCTTAAAGAATAAAGCCTCATCAATATAACTGTGGACCTATGTGCACTTCCCAGTAGTTTTAAACCCCTCTGCACTATTCTGAATTGAGTGTTTATCATCCCTTATATTTCTTTTTTTAAAATTTTATTTATTTATTTATTTATTTTTGGTCTTTTTGAGACAGGGTCTCTCTGTAGCCCCAGCTGTCCTGGAACTCACTATGTAGACCAGGCTGGCCTTGAACTCACAGAGATCCACCTGCCTCTGCCTCCCAAGTGCTGGGATTAAAGGCGTGCACCACCATGCCCAGCTATTATTTTTATGTGTATGGGTGTATTGCCTTCATGTAGGTAAGTGCACCCATGTCGTGCAATGCCTGTGGAGGTCAGAAGAGGCTGTTGGATCCCCTGGAACTGGAGTTATGGACAGTTGTTAGCTGCCATGTGGGTGCTTGGATTTGAACCCAGGTCTTTTGCAAGAACAACCAGTGTTCTTAACTGCTGAGCCATCTCTCCAGTCTCCCTTATATTTCTTGAGAACTATGTTTTATTCCAACTTTGTGGAATTTATGAACATACTCTTTCAATTCTAAAGCTTTAGGGCATTCTTTAAATTATGCTAAAAATATCTCTCTTGTTGCTCTAATAAGTTAATATTAAAATGTTTTAACTTAACATGAAGTTTTCTACACTCTATTACTTTAAATGAGTCAACTAATTGGTAGTAAATATTCCAAGTTAAATAATAATGGCAAGTAATCTGAGGACTCTATGGATTAAATTTATAGGTTTTTTTCCTATCCTTTTTTTTAAAAAAAAAAAAAAAAAAGAAAAAGAAAAAGCAGCCATTCAGAAGTAGAAGGAGCCTTGATTACCTGGAGCCTGGCCAATGCTCATGGCATATATAATCACCTGACAGTAACCAGAATAAAACACTTTTAAGGGGCTAATAACTAAGGAGTGTGTGTGCTCTATACTCTTCAAGGTGGGCAAAATTCCCAATGAACTCAGCCTTGCTCCTGACCTTTGCTGGTTATAATTTAGGCATGTTTCAGAGTTGTGTGTAAGAACTTATTACCAGCCTTAGTATGTCTCTGCTATTATGGTCATCTAAGAGGCCTTGTCTATTAGACAGCAACTACTTGTGCCAGAGTGGAAGAACAACTGATGCACTTAGAAGGAAAATTGTTGTAGGCTGGTTCAGGGAAATATGAATGGGTCAAATGAAGCAGTTTATTTTGTAAAGAGCTAGATCAATGAGGCATTGATGGAAACCAGCAGTGAAGAGAACTGTAGTATAATGACTTGGGTTTGGGCATTTGGTAAATAAGACAGAAACTTTTGTATTATCAATACAATTCTATAATCTTTTATCTGAAATTGTGAAATCTAAGCAACTCTGAAAGCAGGCAATTTGTTCACAGTTCATTTGATACCAAAACCTTACACTGGTCTAAATTCATTTAAGGTGACTAATCACTACCTGAACAAACTAACATTAGACAATTTAACCCACTTTCGACTACATAGGCCAATACAGAAATATTAATATCCTTAACTAGAAAGTTTTCACTTGGGTGGTAGAGACAAGAGGATCAGAATTTAAAGGTCATCTTCAACTGTATAGCAAGTTCAAGTCCAGGCTGGGTTATATAAGGCACTGACTCTAACAAAGAAAAAGCCAAGGGCTGTAGAGCTTCTCTGTCTGCAAAGCGCTTGCCATAGTAGCATGGGGACCTGAGTCGGAGCCTCAGCACCCATATGAAAACCCTGAGTGCAGTGAGATGTACCTGTAATCCCACCACTGGGAAAACAGAGGCAGGAGGATCCCTGGGACTCATTGGCCAGTCAGTCTATCTAAATTGGCAAACCCCAGGTTCAGTGAGAGACCCTGTCAAAACATCTAGCATTAACCTCTGGCCTCCACACACGGGCACACTTGTGCACGTATAAATTCGCACACTCACATGAACCCCCCCCTCAAAAAAAACAATCCAGAAGAAAATTTTGTTCCAGATTCCCTTGGGGGTAATACATAATAGGTAGAATTACCACTTTAACCAAAACCTTTTGGATTCTAGAACATGGTGGGCCCTATGGGTTTCAAATCAGATTAGAGAAAAACAGTAGCTACTTTTGCTTTCATGGATTTTGTGGGCCGAGGCTGCTAGTTATATACCATCTCATTTCATTCATTCTTACATAGAGATAATTGAGACAAGTTTTTTCTGTACCTTTGCTGTTGCATTAATACATATCATTAAATGGCGAATAAGATTTTTCCTGTCACCTCTAAGTACAAGGAAACTCCAAAACTGAGACTATGAAGTGGTAAAATTTAGGAAAATAATTGCACTTTCCTATGTAAATTCTCTGGAAAGCCTTAAAGTATGTGCTATTGGACTCCCTAAAAGCAAAGCTTGGTTTTCCCCTTCAATCATGACCCCTTATCACCACCAACTTACACACAAAGACCAACAATTCTGAAAGAAATATCAAGCTTCTGAGTTTCCTTGCTTTCATACCTTTATCACCTTCCTTGCCCCTGCTTCTTCCTTCCCCAACCCCAACCCAAACCCA